ACCTCCAAGGCAAGAAAACAAAAAAAAAGAGGAGAGCACCATGATCAATCTTTCTCTGTCTCTGACAAAACTTTGGTTCTATAGAATCATATGGATGTTGTTTGTGATCCCTCCTTGTGTTTTGTCAGTTGATGAGCGTCACATACACTGTGCTCCTTCGTTTAGATGCGGCAATCAGACAGATCTCCATTATCCCTTTTGGACACCTGAGAGAGAAGAGTGTGGTCACCCGGATTTCAAGGTCGACTGCAGTGGAGATTTCCCAGAGTTTAGTATGTTTTCGGTTAAGTTCCGAATCCTTGAGATGAATTATGCGTCCCGTATAATAAGACTTGCCAGAATGGATTATCTCAACAATCTTTGTCCCCAACATCCTGACAACGCAATAATCAACCAACAAGTCTTTTCACTTCTTCAAGACACCGAGCTGCAAACTTTTTATTACGACTGCCCTGTTCCAAGGATAAACTTTCTTCCCAATGGCTACATTAGCCAGCTTGACTGTGAGGATGATATTGGTGTGCAAAGTTACTTTGTCTGGTCCCCTTCACATTCTAGGAATAGAGCTATATTAGATGCATCGTGTGAAAGAACGGTCAATATTCCAGTCTCTCGATCTGCCTTGAAGAGAGCAGAGAGTAATCATAGTCTTGAGGCTCTGAAGAAGGCTCTTGATGAGGGTTTCAACCTTAGATTAAACGGTGACTGTTCACAATGCGTGAGATCAAGGGGTGCTTGTGGATATAATCAGAGCTTGAGAGATTTTGTCTGCTATTGTATAAATGAGCCACATGCGCATACTTGCCATCCTGAAAAAAAGAGTAATGATTTCTCCTGCTCTATTTCTATGGATATTTAGCTGACCTAAGTTAATCTGACTCTATATTCGTGTCTGGATCTGATTTGGCAATCTTCTCTAAGAACCAGATCTTTACCTTTCCTCTTCAAGCTTTGTTTTAAGTCTAAAGTTCTCTCATGCATTTGAGCTGACTTTTCTCTTATGCTATTTGTTGCAGAACTCTCAAAAGAAGCGAAAATAGGTAGCTTTCTTTCCCTTTCCTTTCAAGGAGACTAATTTCAGTACAACATACTTAAGTAATAGCAAAATCTTACGAAAGCTCTTCGTTTCTCTCTAGGCATCGGATTCACTTGTGGGTTCTTAGGTGCCACTCTTTTAGCAGGAAGTTTGGTTTGCTTCTTCATCCGGAGAAGAAAGAAACTGGCAGCTCAATACACAAGCAAAGGCCTTTCAACAGCAACGCCTTACTCAAGCACTAATACAATGTCAACCGCTCCAACTTCCACAACAATCTCCCGCAGCAATCACTCTCTTGTACCCTCGATTTCTAACATTGGAAACGGCAGCGTCTACTTTGGAGTTCAAGTCTTCAGCTATGAAGAACTCGAGGAAGCCACTGAGAATTTCTCTAGAGAGCTTGGAGATGGAGGCTTCGGTACTGTTTACTACGGTAAGAACCAAACTCGATTATCTACCAAAAAAGCTCCAAACTTGCCTTTTAAAGCTTATGCATTTCTGAAGGTTTACTAAAGGACGGACGAGCTGTGGCTGTAAAACGACTCTTCGAGAGGTCCCTGAAACACGTAGAACAATTCAAGAACGAAATCGGCATCTTGAAATCCTTAAAACACCCGAATCTAGTGATCCTATACGGATGCACAACAGGACATAGCAGAGAGTTACTCCTAGTTTACGAATACATTTCTAATGGCACACTAGCTGAACATCTCCATGGAGACCAAGCAAAATCTCTTCCAATCTGCTGGCCTACACGACTCAACATCGCAATTCAAACCGCAAGCGCCTTATCGTTTCTCCATGCCTCAGGTAAACGCAAATTGAACAAACACATAATAATAAGATTCCTGAAAACTGAATGATTCATTCTCTGATTATAGGGATCATACACAGAGACGTCAAGACTACTAACATTCTTCTAGACAGTAATTACCAAGTGAAAGTGGCTGATTTCGGACTCTCACGGTTTTTTCCGACGGATCAAACTCACATCTCCACGGCACCACAGGGCACACCAGGATATGTAGATCCTGAGTATTACCAATGTTACCGTCTCAACGAGAAAAGCGACGTATACAGCTTCGGAGTAGTCCTCTCGGAACTAATCTCATCAAAAGAAGCAGTCGACATTACCAGACATCGGCAAGAAATCAATCTCGCGAACATGGCGATTTCCAAAATCCAAAACGACGCCGTTCATGAGCTCGCAGATCTATCTCTCGGATTCGTGAGGGATCCTTCAGTGAGGAGGATGATGATGTCGGTTGCTGAGTTAGCTTTCCGGTGTTTGCAACAGGAGAGGGAAGTACGGCCATCGATGGATGAGATCGTTGAGGTTTTGAGAGGGATTCAGAAGGAAGGGAATAGAGATTTGTCGGAGGTGGTGGAGATTGATGTGAGCGGTGGAGATGAAGCTGTATTGCTGAAACACGGTGTTCCTCCGCCGTTATCGCCGGGGACTGATCAAGGGACGACGAGTAGTTCGAATAATACGACGGCGAGCTCGTTTTGAGAGTGTAGTAGGAGAGACGCTGCATCTAATAGAGCGTTCGGTAAAAGTATATAAAACCTTCACCTTTTGAA